GGTATACCTGGTGCCTTATTCTGGTTTTAAATTGTTAAATCATTTTAGAATAACTATAATTGTTACTATAAAGACTTATTTTTTTATTTATTTTTTATTTCAGGTTGGGGGGTGGGTACACGCCCCTTCCACAAGTCAATAAGCACACCACCAACAAATGAAACTCTAGTAAAAATAATTTTGAATGTTTTTTATACTGTGTACTAGTTTCACTTATTTTATTAAATATAGAAATATTTATTTATAATTAGAGAATGAAACATTTTTTAAATAAGGTATGTTAAACCACTACCACTATATCCACCACCAACTTGAATATACGCCAATCATTGTTGTTGTCTGGAATAAAATTATAGCAACTTTTTGTATAAAAAAAATTACTGTTTGCTGATAAAAAACACTCTTAATTGAAAAACATATGGTTATTTTTAGGTTAAAAGTGACGATTCTACACCCCCTCTAGTCCCCAGAAAATGTCCAATAGATGTTAGAAATTTTTAGCCCACGTTTACACGTATCTTTTGACAGTTATAGTAAGTTAGATAAGAATTGACAAAGTTATAACAATTTAAGTGAAGGAACAATTTAAGTGAAGGAAAATTAAGTTTTGACCACACTTTCTTCAACAAATTCATATACTAAAAATTTGCTGCTAAAAACATCATTACTTTTTGTAAAATAGTTAAATAAAATACTTTATTGAAGCCCTTTCCAATAATAGATAGCAATCTAGTCTTTGATCAATTTAAAAAATAACAGTGTTTCTTATCATAAAAACTACCAGTATTTTTTTTAAAAAAAAGAATAAAACTAAGAAAAGTAAAAAAAAAGGCACGTGAGAATTTTGTTGTTTTTTTAGGCAGTGTGAACTTGCATGTTGCTCTTGTTATATATCTATTAGAGTTTACTTGAAAGAAATAATTTAAAAAATGCGAAGGGACAAGTCCAAGTTTGTATTTAAGCATAAATAGTACATTTTGATAGATGTTGATTTGGTAAACATTTAGTGCCCTTAAGGTTTTTAGTAAGGGTTCAACATGAAGTAATTTTTGTTATAAACTAGTCTTGATGCATGTTTTTGACTTATATAAATAGTACTCAGTTTGGATTTGTGTGTACTCGCTGATGTAATATTAGCGTACGTAAGATAACTTTGGATGTAAGAAAAATAAATCAATTTAAGATTATGTTGGGACAACATAGGTTTAACTTTGTAGAGTATACCAACATATTTAGAAATTTTGGTGTTTTTTGTACTTATATGGGCTCTCCAAGATATATTTTTGTCAATAAGTATCCCAAGAAATTTAGTTGTTTCTGTTCTTTCAATGTTTACCTTATCTATTTTAAGTGAGGGAAGGATAGTTGATATATTTTTTGTTTTTGTTTTTTGGAATGATATATTAATTTTTTGTTTTTTGGAATGAAACAATATGTATTTTGTTTTTTGTGTATTTAGTTTGCTATTTATTCCATTTCAACCATATATTTAATTTTTTAAGCTCTTTGTTCATAGATTCATAAAGGTCTTTGATTGAGTTCGAGGAATAAAATAAGCTTGTGTCATCAGCAAACATAATAACATCAAGTGATAATCATAGAGCTTTAAGAATATTTCTACAAATTCATTATAAGCGGAGTTAGTATGCCCAAGGTTGCATTCTTGGCAAATCCTGTCCCACCTCACTGCTGATAGATTCTTGGCAAATCCTGTCCCACCTCGCTGCTGATAATGCTTTAAACTGTTGAGTAGTAAAATAAATAATTTTTCGGTTATAGACTTTGATTTTAGAGTTAATATTTTTTGTATCTTGAAAAAAGGAAAAGTATATCGGAAAGTGATCGGATATATCCGTTTTGATTACTTCTGCTTTTAATGAAGAATCATAAAATGAATTATTCAATATGTTGTCAATTGCAGTGATCGAATTTAATATTACCCGGGTTGGTTTGCTCATTATAGGAAAGATGTAGTGTCAAAACATATTGCCAAAAAAATTTTAGTAACAGCATCTTCATTGTACTGTAGACAATTTATATTTATGTCACCAATACAGAATAATATTTTGTGTTCTTTGTTTTTTTCTAGAAATAGTTTTAGGTGATTTGAAAAGTTTTTTATATTTTTTTTATTTTTTTTTTATTTGTTTGTTTACATTTAACGTAATATTTATAAATTACATATTTTCCAAATACAAACAAGGCTTCTAAAAGAAGATCACAATGATTTTATCGTCAGAGGCCTTTTACAAAAGAGAGTATGTAACATATTATAAAAACGCTTTTTTACAATAAAAGTACGTAAAAAATCATAAAAAAACAATAAATCGTATTTACATAAATGAAAATAAATTATAAACTAGTATAAAACAAAACATGACAATAAAGTTTATTATTATTTTGTTTTTTATCACAAGATAAATTAAAAATATTTATTAAAGATATTTTCAATAGAAAGAATGTGGTCTTTTAATTTATTTTAAAAAACAGGATAAGTTAGGGGTAAGTCGAAGTTAGGCAAAATAATTTTTTTCCAGAGATGAGCTACACAATAAGTGATACAAAATTGATTAAATTTTGTTCGACAGAATGGTTCATTAAAATAATAATTATTCCTCATGTTAAACTTGCTTAATGGTTTCAAAATAAAAAGACCTTTCAAATTAAAGGAGATAAATCATGCTTCCACATATAGACAAAAAATAAATTTTATTTACATTTAGTTTAATTATATATAGGATTTTCATTTGATTAACAAATATTGAGGAGTGTGCGAACCGATCCGCAGAATTAATTAAACGGATCGCATGTTTTTAACGGCGATAGAAACATTGTAACTTGCTTTGATCAGTGCTACCCCAGGCAATAACTCCATAACTTATATAACTGTGAATAAAAGAGTAATAAAGTTTAGTTTTTTTTATCTAAATGAGTACGCGTCTTATATATTTTTTTATCTAAATGAGTACGCGTCTTATATAAAATTCCGATACTTTTTGTAACTTTTGAGCAAAATAGTAAATATGATGTTTCTATGTGATGTTCTCGTCAATAAAAACCCCCAGGTATTTAGTTACAGAATCTCTTTTAATTTCAATATGGTCAATAAGAACTTTTGGTAGATTTGGAGGTAGAAAACGTTTTTTGGAGAGCGGGTGGAAAAGAATCCATTTTGTTTTGGTTTTATTTAATGGTAATTTGTTACTTTTAAACCATTTAGATATGTTTTGAAGTTCTTTGTTCATCATGGAGTATCACTTTAAAAGTATATCACTTTCATGTGGTCTGTAACAGGTGGGCACTAGTATATTTTTTAATTTTTTGTTTATTATTTCAATTGTATAGATCTCACATTGGCATCAGAAACCAAAGTTCGTCTCTAATTTTAGTTGTAAGATCATTATGAATATATGTCATAATTTCAACCACTCGTTTTTTAACTTTTCGCTCATAAGATAATAGTTTGTAGTTTGGAACAGACTTGAATTTATTCTGGATGATTCGTCAGAACACCACCTAGTCACCAAGTTTCTGTTCAACCCAAGATTTAATTTAACTATATTTTTTTTTTTGTTATTTTTATTCTTATTGATATGGTGATTATATTCTGTTATAATTTATTAAAAATGTAAAAACTAAATAAAAAAAATTATCACACCGGAGCACATTGGTCAAAACAGCAGTTTTTCATTATCGACGTCTTTATTGATTGTCAAGTAATTGAAACGATTTAAAAGAAAAAAAAAGTGTTTATTTATAAAACAAATAACGAACATTGAGATGATTTAGAAAGAGGTGATTTAAAAGTATTTATTAAAGTGATTTAAAATTAGGTGATTTAAAAGGAGAAAAAAAAATTATTTTTTCAAAAACTGAAGATTTGGATGTTTAACAACTAAAAATAACTGAGAATTTGAACAAATTTATAACCGGATATAAAAGCTAGATATACACACAATACTCGAAAAAAGTAATAGAAAGTTAATTAAATGGATCATCTTACCGCAATAAACAACTACCGATATAACAATTTTTATTTACCGATCCTCGTACCGAAATAAAAAAATACCGATAAGACATTTTTTATTTACCGATAAGACAATTTAAGGGGATGACTGAATAAGCGCGAATTTCATAAGTGTGAACTAGCATAAGTGCGAATGACGTAAGCGCGAACTGGCATAAGCGCAAATTGGCATATGTGCGAACTTGCATAAGTGCGAAGCAGTTGCAAAAATTGGCACAAATGCGAACTGGCATAAATGCAAATTGGCATAAGTGCGCCGAACAAAATTTCAAACATTGGTATAAATGCGAATTGGCATATATGCGAACCAGTTACAAAAACTGGCACAAATGCGAATTGGCATAAGTGCGCTGAACAAATTTGCAAACATTGGCATAAGTTCGAACTGACATAAGTGCGAAGCAGTTACAAAAAGTGGCATAAGTGCGAACTGGCATAATTGCGAATTGGCAAAAGTGCGCCAAATAAATTTGCAAACATTGGCTTAAGTGCGAAATACTAATTTGCAATTATGCCAATATTTGAAATTTTATTCGGCGCACTTATGCCAATTCGCAGTTATGCCAGTTTTTGTAACTGCTTCGTACTTATGTTATATCCCACTTATGCCAATGTTTGTAATTTTGTTTAGCGCACTTATGCCAATGTTTGTAATTTTGTTCAGCGCACTTATGCCAATGTTTGCAAAATGTTATGGCGCACTTATGCCAATTCGCACATATGTTAGTTTTTGCAAAGCTTCGCACTTATGTCAGTTCGCACATATGCCAAAACGCATATATGCAGCATCCCGAATTTAAGCAAACAAACATTTTATAAACGCAGCTAATTTCAGATTAGTAAAAGGTAAAGATTTTATAAACACAACAAATTTTAGAGATCAAATCAATTATCACCACACACAAGTTATAAAGATAAAAATGTAAACTATATTATTGAATTTTATTAAATAATAACTAAAAAAAAAAAAAAATTATTTGGCATGTATGAATTTTACAAACAAACGAATTTAATTTTTTAACTAAACATTTTTAACTTGTCAAAACTGCAGACATTTCAACACTAAGTCATTTTCATTCATCACCAAAATATGCTGATGATATATCCTCATCCGAGTTACTAATTTTCCATCGAATTCACCGAATTATTTTTTTTATTATATTTTACTTTTATATATTATATTACAGCAAAAACTTATTAAAATGATCACCAAAAACCAATAAAACAAAAAATTCTAATAAAACTTTTATTTGAAGCAATAAAATATTTTATTGTTAAAATTATTTAAAAACTTAATAAAAAAAAACATCGTAATAAAAATTTTGTATCAGATCATTAAATGTTTATAATTTAGTAAATTGTTCAACTATTCAAAAGGAGAAAAATTAAAATATATTTTCAATTAGTAACAATATCTAAACTTTTTATTTCTTTTACTTAGAAGGTATTCCGCGTAAATGTTCGCGTAAGACACGAATTGTACTTAAGTAGTCATCCATGTTGATATAGCAACCACTTAAACTACGTTTTCCAGTAAATGAGGTGCGTCCATGAAGAACTCTAAAATAATTCACGACCTCTTAAAATTATGGAAAAAATAGAAAAATACTAAAATAAGATAGAAGATAGATGGTTGATAGAGGATAGAAGATTGAACAAGAAATATAGATTAATGTTTATTAATATATATGCATCATTAGGAATATTATGATATAACTGTTAAAAAAATTAAAATATGCAAATAAATTTTATTTATAAAAACCAACCTCCAGTTGTTGACAATTAATAAATTTCCGGGAGTTAGTTTAAGTCGAAACTCTTGTTCCTTGCTATATATGATATCCAAAAAAGCAATGTAATGATTATAAAATTTCTCAATTTCATCAAATGATAAGCAATTCAAAACATCACGATCTCCATCATTTATTCTAAAAACACAAAACATCACGATCTCCATCATTTATTCTAAAAACACAAAACATCACGATCTCCATCATTTATTCTAAAAACGTATAACTTTCCTCAGATTTTCAATTTACAGTTTTGTAAAGAAAATATCAAAATTAACTAATGATAATTATTTTAAATAATGAAACACACATCCTTCCTTAACCAATTAGTTTTGTGATTTGACCCCAGACATTGTTATACATTGTTGGATAGAATGCATTTTTTACTTTACGTAATTTAGGCATTTAAAAAGTATCATTTTTTACTTTAAAAAGTTTAACAAATAAAAATAATTATAAAAAAAAAAAGTGTGATAATAAAACAAATAAAAAAAAAAAGGTTTGCCATTTTTGTACACACAAAAAATTGTGCAAACAATTTTTTGAAAAACAAAACAAAAAATAAGACTACTAAATATTCAAAAGAGAAAGAGAAAATAAAATGTTCAAAACTAAAAATCCACTTGAAATATGTGATAAGTGTAGAAACAATATACAAACTAAAAAAAACTACCCAGTAGGCATAAGACACCCTTACACGTCTAAGAGACGTCCATTGGACATCTGCACATCCCATTGACGTCGGTCGGACATCTTAGGACGTTTAATGCCCACTGGGTACTTGCTAGATTTAATGATATACTGAGCTCTATTTATAAATCTGGCAAATATTTTATTTGACGGGTAAACAATGTTACAGCTTTAACCTTTTGCAATTTGTCACTGCAAAAATTTGTCACTGTCACTATCAGTGCAAAATTTACAAACTAACGAGTTTACGTGGAAGAACTTGAACAAAAAGCAGTAGCAAGTTTTCCAAGTCGCGTTCACCCAAAAAAAAAAATGCAAATCTTGCCTTTCAATCATCGGAAAAGGAAAGAAACACAAATGTTAAAATAAAATTTTAGCTGTAAAAATATTAGAAAAACTTCAAATCTCAACTAAAGTTTTTTTATTTCAAATTCTCAGAAAAAGTATAAGAATAAGAATTAAAAAAATAAACTCGTTAAAAGTGCCTTTACAAATATCAGTAGAATCCTTAAAAAATATACCTAGACATAATTAATTTAATAAGGATTCAATCAAGATTTACTTTGTCCAACAAGACACTTATACAGTACGCTAAATTACTCAGGTAAAACAATTTTTTTAAAGGATACTATGTATTATTCTTTATAAGTAATATAGATAATTTTAATTTGATGTTCTTTTCATAATAAAAATGTTATTTATTGGAGGAAGAGACTTTCTTTCCTTTATAAATATATTCACAAACATAAAACAACCAGAAGTAATTTATTTTATAAATATATTCACAAACATAAAACAACCAGAAGTAATTTATTTTATAAATATATTCACAAACATAAAACAACCGGAAGTAATTTATTTTATAAATATATTCACAAACATAAAACAACCAGAAGTAATTTATTTTATAAATATATTCACAAACATAAAACAACCAGAAGTAATTATGAAGAATCTCAAAAATCAAAAATATAAAGAAAGTTTTGTAAAAACTTGTTTTTTACAAGTTCTAAATGTTTCTGAAAGTCACAACAATTATTCAGTACAATGTTTCTTTAATAATAAGCATTCTATAATAACAGAAAAAATTTAAAAAAACTTTGATAAAAAAAAAAAAACGCTCATTTGTAGCTGATTTTAAACTTTGTCAAATGATGTGTGGTTTCTCCAAGTGCCAACCTTACCATATATGCAAATGTGTGGTTTCTCCAAGTGCCAACTTTACCATTTATGCAAACAAAAAAGAATGAAACCATTTAAAGAAAACAAGTTTAGAACTTTTGGTTCAAGCGACAATGCAAAAAATTCTCTAGCAAAATCTAGCAAATTCTCACAATCAGGTTCAATGAAACATAATGCTGAAGATTATTGTAATGATAATAATTCTCCATTGATACACCCAGAAGCCAGCGACTACTTATTGGTATAATAACTTTATCCACTAGAGTTACACCCAATGGAGGAAGCTCTTAATCATATTTGTAGTATTTTATTTTATATAATCATATAAAGAAATGTGGTAGTAAAAATAATGTAGCTAAAGTTTGAATTATTCGCAACATTTAACAATGCTTTTAACAGGTATGTCTCCAGTTATGATGAATCCAGAAAATTATGATGAATCAGGAAAAATATTTAAAAATTGACTTAATTATAACTATGTTGTCATAAAACTAATTAACAAACAGTATCTCAATTATACTATACATTAATTATTGTCCATGACATTGGTTTCTATTTTACAAATGATATATTCATGACAGTCATATCCAAATAATATAACCATTATTACTATAGTTTCATTTAGGGTAAAAGCTTTTACTTTTAAAGCTGTAACTTTTGAACAATTAATCAATTTTTATTTATAAATTTGTGTAAAAAATAACAATTTCCCGAACCTAAAAATGTATTGTTTTTAGGGATCCCTTAAAATGTAATTTATTTAGGGTAATTCCACATCAAATCACCTAAAATTTAGGAAATTTTGAACCATGGTTCCTCAAATTTTTTTAAAACTTCTTTGGCTGTTGCACCTTTAAAAAAAAAAATTAAAACATAAAATTTCAGCTCAAAATGTTGAGCGATTGACAAGATACTGCAATTTTAACATTGACCTGGTTTCCTAAAATGACCCGGTTTTTATAACATTTAAAAAAAAATTAAAAAAAAAATTAATAAGAAATAAAAATGGCAAAAATATGAAAATAAATATATATAATGTTTTTTTGATGCCGAATTCAATAAATGTACTTAAAATGCTGAAATATAAAAGGAACATGCTTAAAAGTTAATAGAACAAGTAGTTTCTATAATCAAACTTTGGGGCCCAATATCTCAAAACACCTCTGTCAAAATTTGTTTTTTTGTTGCTGTTAATATATTAAGCTGCTTATAATCTTACTAGGCACAAAATATCTAACTGGAAAAACAGCTAAAACATATGGAACTTTAATTTTAAAGATATATCAAATTTTCAATAAATTAGTTTAAAAAACTTGCAAATAGAATTTTGTTAAATATTAAATTTAGTTTATAGACTCCTTAGATAAAAAAAAAAAATTGTTATATTTAAGGAAGTCTTAACTATATAATAAATTTGTTATTTGATCTTAACAACTGAAAAAAACATCCTGTTTTGAATCTGACTAGGTGTGATATTGAAGTGCATTTGTTTTTAAAATTTTAACAACTATAGTTTGTAAAAACTAGTTTATAAAAAATTCAGTGATAACATTAATCGGTAAAATTTTATTGAAATAATAAAAATTTTATATATATAGATTTTATATATATAAATATTTATAAAGAAAATTAACAATATCTCTCAATGTAAAAAATTATACAACAGAAGGATTCTGAAAAGGTTTGAATTATTTCTATATTAATTTTTTTTTTTACTCAAAATAATGTAGAATAGAAGAATTTTTTAATTTTTTTTTTAAGAAATACATTCACCCTAAGTAACTTATTATAATATGTGTTCTATATTGTGTTTATTGACATCAGATGAATGCAATGACCAGCAAGATGTTATTGAAACTTTAAGCAATGAAGAAAAAATAACTATATCATTACATTGTAACATTGAGTTATCAAACTTAACGATATTATGTGAAAGACATGCTATAAAATATTTGAAATTGTATCCTATATGGCAGAAAGAATGTTGTGATCCATTCAATAAACATACAAAGAAAATCACAAGTAAGTTGATGTAGAATTTAAATATTTTATATATATATACTTTTTTAATTTGTATTTTCTAAAACATAAACAATGTTTTGAACAATTGCGCAGATAAGCTTTATACAATTCAATTACTTTTAGAAATTCTCATAGTAGTTACAATAATGAGTCACAAGTCATGATGAGAAGTAGTTTGAATATTGCTCCTGGGAAGAAACTTTGCAAACCTTGTAAGCAAAAGATTGCCATAAAAGAAGATCTTAAAGAAAAGAAACAAAGTCAGGAACAAGATGAGGATTTTCTAATATCATCATTCAAATCAAAAAGACAAGAGATCAATGAAGAACTCAAAAATTTTAATATATCTCCTCTAAAATCTCATTCAAAGTCATCAAAACATATTCTCTCAGAAGGAAAGCGAAAAATTGCGCGCATCAATGAAATGGTAAATGTTACTAGAAAAACTGAAAGTCAAGTCAATGTTCCTTCAAAACTGTGTTATAAAACAAATAACATGAAAATGAAGGCTGAAAACTTTGATGAAATTATGAGCTTGATAAAAAAAAAAAAACTCTATGTTCTGACAAAAGGACTATTGTTCAACTTCTAACACTGGCACCCCCAAGTTGGTCGATATTAGAAGTACAAAATAACTTCGCAGTTGCAGAATACAAAGCAAAAATGGCTAGACAAACTTTTTAATAAAAAAGGATTTATGTAGAACTATGCCTGGAAAAAAAGATTATATTAGCATTCAAAAGAACAACCGTAAACAAAAAAAACTGCTTTTATGTTATTTAAAAGAACTATATGTATTACACAAAGAAAACAATCCAGAAATAAAATAGGTTACTCAAAATTTGCTTCACTTGACCAAAGTGGTGCATTTTGCCAGGTGCAAACGGTACACATTCTATTTGTGTTTGTTGTTATCACCAAAATGCCATATTGCTAGTAGATGCCTTAAATATTGGACTAAAGTATAAGGATTTACTTTCAAAAACCGTTGCTCAGTAGAAAATAAAGAATGCATGCTTGCACAGTGTGATAATTGTCCTGGTAAAGAAACCCTCACCAAATATATGTATGAGATTTTCGGAGACCACAAAGATGATTTTGAGATACACTACAAGCAATGGCAAACTACTGATTGTGCAACACTATTGAGTTTAACAGCAGATGTTTTAACATTTGTTGAACTATTAGTATCTTGCTTGGAAAAGCTACAAGCTCATTCTTTTATTGCGCACTCTTAATCACAGTACCTTAACCAACTAAAACAAAATATGGATCAATCAAACATTATCATTATTGGCGACTTTGCTGAAAATTATACTTTTGTAGTCCTAGATGAAATACAAAGCTATCATTGGAACACCCAACAATGTTCTTTACATCTATTAGTGATATACTATAAAGATGATAAAGGTGTACTGAAACATATTTCTTATTGTTTTATATCAGACGACATTACACATGATGTAACTTATGTGTTCAAAATATTTCAACTAATCATACCAATATTAAAAATAAAATTTTCCAATCTGTCCAAATTACATCTATTCACTGATGGTTGCGCAGGACAGTACAAAAATTGTAAAAGCTTTTACAATCTATGCCAACTAGAGAGCAAATTTTCCTTTAAAGTTGAATGAAACTTTTTTGCCACGTCACACGGAAAGTCACTATGCGATGGGATTGGCCGCACTGTAAAATGGTTAACAGCACAAGAAAGTTTAAAACGACCATACAGAAACCAAATTTTCACATCAGAGGCTATGTATGAATTTTGTATTGAGAAAATCAAGGTTGTTAACTTCATTTACATAAAGGCGATAGACTTTTTGCTCCTCACATTGCAATTTAGCAATTGCAATGTGAGGAGCAAAAAGAAAGGTACAATGGTGTAACAACTCTACCTGGTACTCGTAGCTTTCATCAATTTATACATATTGGAGATAACAGGGTTGGGGCAAAGAGGTGTAGTACAGACACTAATTATACAATAATTCACAACCTTAAAAAGAAACAAGATATATTTAAACTTGATACTGTCACTTTAGGACTTATGTAGCTGTAGTCTATGATGATAAGTGGTGGATCGGCATTGTAACTGAAACTAACCTAGAAGAAGTTGATGTTAAAGTAAAGTTTCTTCACTCAAAAGGTCCACCAATCTGTTTTAACTGGCCTGAAAGAGAGGACAACTGTTTTATTCTTAACACCAACATATTGAAAAAACTATCTGTTCCACAAGCTTGCTCTAGTTCGGATAGAAACTATATGTTTGAAAATGCTGAAATAGAAGAAGTACAAGTAAAATGGAAACAATATTGTGAACTATTGTGAACAAACTTATTGTGAACAAACACAGTCAAAATAATTTACATCTTTAAAAATCTAGTATATTTAAATACCTTTTTAAATTGCGATTAGATTATTTTTATTTTATTTACAAACATTTTTTGGGAATTTCTTGAAAAAGTAATACATCTTTGATATTAAAGTTTCATATGTTTCAGTTGTTTTTCCAGTTACATATTTTGTGCCTAGTAAAATTATAAACAGCTGAATATATAAACAGCAAAAAAAAAAAAATTTTGATGGAGGTGTTTTAAGATATTGGGCCGCAACGTTGCTTTATAGAAACTAGTTGTTTTATTAACTTTTAGGCATGTTCCTTTTATATTTCAGCATTTTAAGTACATTTATTGAATTTAGCATCAAAAAAATATTATATATGTTTATTTTCATATTTTTGCCATTTTTATTTCTAATTTTTTTAAGAAAAATATTTTTTTAGAATGTAAACCGGGTCATTTTGGGAAACCAGGTCAATGTTAAAATCGCAGCATCTTGTTAAATTTTAAAATCGCAGTATCTAAAATCGCTCAACATTTTTGGCTGAAATTTTGCATGCAATATTTTTTTATAATTAGGAATAATGTGTCAAAATATAAAACAAACAGAAGAAACATGGTTCAATGGATTGGGTGATTTGATGTGGAATTACCCTTTAGTAATGAGAATTGTGTGATTTCGGTGACAAAATCTACTTATCGTAATGGATCCAACAATATATGAGAATGCCTAGGGTCAAATCAAAAAACGAGAAATTGGTTTAAGGCATGTGTGGAAATGAATGAAAAAACTTATTAGGCACTAGGACTTATATGCTCTAGAGAATGTTTTATTTCTTAGAGAAAATTAGTTATAATGAGAAGTATAAGATAATTAGAGATGTAAAGTATTGTCTCAATTGTTAATGTTAAGTAGATTGTCTCAATTGTTGCTTTAAACCAATGTACAAAACTGAGACCATTATGCCACATCCACAATAAAAGGATAGTGTCATAACTAATAACAAGTCACAAGTACTACTACTACTACTACTACTACTACTACTACTACTACTACTACTACTACTACTACTACTACTACTACTACTACTACTACTACTACTACTACTACTACTACTACTACTATTACTACTACTATTACTGGTGCTGCTGCTGCTACTGCTGCTGCTACTCCTACAAAAAATATTCTTATCTCAGGTAAGACTTTCTACATAAAAACTAGTAAATACTTAAGAAATGCTCATAAAACTATTTTTTCAGTGAAATTTCAGGTACACCGATACTTATATATATAAATTTAAAAATAAGAAAAATATAGGTTGGCTATTTTTTGCCAAAAAAATGGCAGACTATTTTTATGGTCAAACTTTTGCATCAAATAATTTTTGCCAACCTGATGCCGACCTCAATGATTTCATATTTACTAATTCCCAGGGTTGATATACATATAAATTTACACATACATATACATAGAGACTTAAACTGTTTTAAACATTAATCCAAAAATAAATTAACCTGACTTGATAAATTTCTTTTGAGTACGGGTTTATCTTTATAATAGGCCCTAAAGCTTTTGAACAACGATCTTTCTCCTAAACGAACAACTACATTTAAATAATAAATTTAATAAATGTGAATTATAAAAAGTAAAACCAAAGATTAATGAAGATACATAATATGTGGCAGGAATCCATGTCTTGGCTAAATACTCCACAGCATCGGGATTAGTAAGCTTCAACTTTTCAGCAGCACCTATACCATCTACAAGTACTGTCTCGCCACCAGTTCCTGTATGTTCATGGCAATGAAACATCTGTAGGCTATAACAAAAAACTTATTACAAATTAACTGCAAAAGTAAGAACAAAAAGACTTGCGAATTGTTGTTTCATGCTCTCAGATGATTCAGTAACCATTTGCGGTTAATAGAACCTAATTGTATTATAATAATAATAATAACCACAATAACAATAAATATTAAAATAAACTAAATTTTAGTTAAAACAACAGAAATTATTTAAACAATATATATATATTGTGATATAAAATTGGTGCAATAGAAATCAATATTAAATCCAGTATTAAAAACATTTTTGATCTACAAAAGCTTACCATCATTTTCGTATCAACTAGATAAAATTGTCACAATTTAAAAGATGATGCTTTAAATAAATAAATTCTTACTTGTTTTTGTATGGAGGACTGCTGTCAAATTTTATTTTTGAAGGCCACTTCAGATGAGGAGGCTACTTATTTGTGGTTATAACCACAAATGTCAAATTTTATAATAAAAGGCCACTACAGACGAGGAGGCTACTTGTTTGTGGTTATAACCACAAATAAGTAGCCTCCTCGTCAGTGTGGCCTTCTAGGCCTTGAGGAGGTGAATTAACGCACAACACACAAGTCTCTCTACCATCATTGTTAGGTTATCAATTTTTCTACAATCAATTTTTCTACAAATACTACTATAATCTCTGTTTGAGCAACCTATCAACCTATCAACTTTATCTTCATCAACCAAAAATCTTCTCCTTTATCTTTATCGTTTATCTTCAAACTTTTAATTTAAAAAAAAATTATTTATTAATTTTTTATTGTTTATGTTTTATTGTTTATAAGTTGTGTAGGCAGATGTTATAAACTTTGATATCTTATATTGTTGATCTTAACATAGGCTTTTTATTTGTTAGTTTAGTTACTTTATTCAATGAATAGTTTTAACCAATAAAAACCTACATTAATCCATTTTAGATGCCGATTTTCTACAGTCAACATTATCTAACAACAAGATTAAAAATCAAAAGCTTTTGACTAGATGTAACTCGCTATTTTAAACGTTTTTACAGTACTTCCTTAATTTTTTGAATTTAAAACACTTGTGCACTTTTTTTTGGACAATAAAAAAAAATGATTTGTCTCTAACTTTTAACACCAAAATAAATTTTTTGAGAAATAATTGTTTTGAAAAACAAATGTTTTAAAAAATAAGTAGTTGATTTTTTCAAAATCTACTGTATTTAATATAACTTGTTACAATTAATAAAAAAAACTCTATATTACTAGGGGAAGGGGGGGGGGGGGGTCCATAATTCTATATTTTTTGTTTAACCAGTTATTCTTAATTAATTTTTTGAGAAAAGTTTAAAAAAATTCAGTTTTTGCTAATTTTTTATGTTTGACCTTCTACTTCTATTTTAAAAATTTAAAAGATATAAAAAATAAAAGTCTTTGCAAAAGTTTCTTTGCGAATAAAGTTACTCAACTTTTCTTTCAAATTTATGTTATTCAAATTTTGATTGGATGAATTTGATTTTTAATCGTTGCGTTTTAGAAAAAAAAAGTTTAATCTGAAGTCTTTTTCTGAAGAAACATTTTAAATAAGTAAAATGACAGATTGCTTCAAAAAAAAGTTTAATCTGAAGTCTCTTTCTAAACAAAACGCTTTAACTAATCAAAAAGACGGATTGCTTCAAAAAATCTTAATTTCCTTTTTTTTATTTATTTTTAATCGTTATTCAAGCTATCAAGAAGGCTATTCAAGATTTCTTTTTTTTTTTTTTTTCACCTTTCTTTAATAAAGTCAAGAATAAATCTGCTTTTAAAGTGCCAGTCAGTAGAAGTTCAGTTAAATTCTAAAGTTTTAACAATTCTAAAGATAAACAGTTAGTATAAAGGAACACCGCTACCTAAAATACTTTATAAAAAACAAACTGGGTGATTTTGAAATTTTCTGCTTTACTTCAAAATACAGTGAATAGCTAGTTAAAAAAAATTCTAGAAGCAACTAATAAGTATACCTCAAAGAGGTTGAATGATTGTATCATTCTTGCTAGAGTATTTTGGCAAAAATTAGCCTAAGGACTTTAAAAAAGAGAAAAGTATTATGTATTTGGTTGATGATGGAATATGATTAGTATTAACTTTCTAATTAAGTTGTTGCAGTTGGAAAGCTTTGGAAAAAACCCATTTAATTTCAACAGTAAATGTATACTTAATTATTTAAACCATATAAAAAATGAAGGTTCACGCAGTTTAAAAATATTTTGGAGAATTAATGTGCAGTTATTTGTCCAAAAAGTTGAAACTATGGAATATAGTTGAAACAAGGAACAAAAACAAATGGATAACAATGGAAGAGCAGCAAACTTTACATCAGGTGTTCAAGATGAGTTCTGTTTTAGCTTGATTAAAGTTACAAGGCAGCCCATTTAGCTGTGAACTAGACATTATTGAAGTAGATAAAGATATGTTAAAATGAAAAAAAATTTAAAAAATGAGGTTCTTTATTTTAGGGATACAATGTAGGTAATTTTCGCGGAGGTCTATTCTGTTTAAATACGTGATTGTTGATATAAAAATACAAACCTCCATCTTATGTCTACCAAAGAACATGCTCATAACCTAGATGTTTTATAAGGAAAGTTCACGCAGCAATCTCTATCACATATGATAACTTTTTTAGTTATTTTCCATTTTCAATAGTAAATAACAAACTGTATGAACTGTTTTCATATATGCTTAATTTTTTTTGTTACTTATAAATGATAAGGTATATTATTGATAAATTAAACAGAAAAAGATTTCTAGTTTTCTACTTTTTTTATATTTAATGATAATAATAATTTCATCTATTTTTAACAATGCCTTTTTTTGTCAATATATTCACTTTTATTAAAATCGAAGTAGAAGGTTAAATAATTAAAATGAAAAAAAATGATTATGATTTTCAAAATCAGCATAAAAAACTAATTAAGAAAAATTGGTTAAACTATAAAAAACCAAAAAAAAGACGATTATGGACCCTCCCTAATATTACAACAATGAAATTTGTTATCATAACATGAGACAATTTTTGTGATAACAGATAAAAAAAAATGATCTTACCCAGGTGAATCTAAAAAATATGTTCCATCAGTATGACATGGAAGAGCAACATTTGAATATGCTAAGTCAGCATGATCCATATCTTCTTCTGATCTGTTTGTTGTTAACCATACATCACCATAAAAAGTCTTACGTGGATACCCAATAAGATTACTAATAGTTCGAACAGACTAAAACATATAAACAGAATAAATGAATAATTAACAGATTAAAAAAAACAGTGTTTAACAAGAAAAATAAAAAAATATTAAAAATTAAAATTATATTGAACATCTGCCATTAATTACCTCAAGTGTTGTTGGGGTGTTTTTTACAATTGCAAAGCCATATATTGCCTATCAAGAAAAATAAACAACGTTTATGTAAGTATTTATATATATATGTATATAAATATATACATATATGAACATTTACTTGTATTGCAAAAAAATATTGCATGAAATTTTGTTGGAAAAAGAATTGAAATTAAATATATAACACATCATATATTACCTATAACACAATTGCTTATTAAAAAATCTTTATAACAAAGTTGATGATATGTGTTTTCCAAACATTTCTACAAAGTTCATGATATGTGTTTTCCAAACATTTTTACAATTAATTTAGCTTAATGCCTATTTTTTATGGTTTAATGTATTGAAATTGGAGGTTGTCTCATGAAAAAAAATTTACAGTCCGTCCTTTATCAGGCAAAGAAAATATTGACGAACATTTCAGATGTTTACTTTATTATAGTAAAATGCATTTAAATTTACAATTCAGTCCAAATTTAAATTGACATAATAATTTAGTTTTTATGATAAAAATATGATTTAATATATAAATGTTTTTAGTTACAATATTTTTAATGAATTCTTTTACTTTTGATTTGCCATTTAGAAACAAGATTGTTGAAAATAAGGAAACTATTTAGGTGAAATGTAGTTTGTAGAAAATAAAAATGTGCCCTCCTCTTTTAAAAATGACCCATTAGGAAACAAACAAATGTTGGTTAGTGAAAAATTTGAGGAGACAATAAATTGTTTAGATACTTACCATAATGGAGATAATAAAATAGACATTATCTCCAGCCTTTTAGAAAATTTAAAAAGTCTAATGATGTCCCTAATTTTATTTGAAAAAAGTATTAAAAAAAAATTTAGCTCTAACTGAATTTGGAATAGGTTTGGCTGCACTGAGTGCAAAATTTCTGTTATAAATAACAGTTGGTAAAACATTTATTAAATTTCTAAGGAAAGTATTTTAAAGCACAAAACAACTAAGAACAAGTTAAGATTTCCAATAGCTTCACACACCATGCCAGATTTAGATAGTAGATACTCACTGATATTTTACAGCTGTTGATGGAATCAGTCACTCTGAGAGCTACCACAGAGTTCGGGAAACCTGACTACCAGCTGACCTCAGAACTGACACAAACAAAATCCATGCATCGAGACAAGAAGTCCCAGCATTCAACATCCTAAACAGGAAACAATGTACTATAAATACATCTGCGCCAGCCTAATAGATGAAGAAAAGGTGCTAGGCTAGTCACAGGTAGAGTCTGTTTTCCCCTCAAGTCTTTGCCGAAGAGGCTTTCTACAAAACAGTAACCAGATGAATTTAATATCTGTTTAAGATGAGTATTTTTATTGAGACACTATCTCTAGCCTTACCTCAAGTAAGACCCAAAGGCAGGTGTGTTTTAAATCAGTGTTGGTTTCTCCTAGCCTTTGCCTAAAAAAGTGTATCCTACAAGGATGCAGAAGGTTGTACTGGGTTTTATGTTACCAGTAGCAACCAGACCAGACCATTAATAAAATCCCATTCAAGGTATGAACAATGTTGCACAAATAATGCCATGTTTTATAATGTTCATATTTTAGGGTTTATAGATTTTTTTTCATAATTTATGGTTTGCAGATTGCAAGCACATATGTGTATGTGGGGGGAGGGGGTGGAGGGATGATGGGGATGGTAAATGAAAGAATTATAAGTCAAAAAATAAAACTTTTTAACAACATGAAAGCACATTTGTTGTCTATGATGGGAAGACTATTAAAGAGTTCATGCAACCAATTAGTTTGCATTTAACACTTTTAAGGAAAGAAAACAGTAAGTAAAAAATGAAAATAAACGAGACTAATTTTCTACCACACACAATTAATAGGCAAAGAATAAGCAAGGTAGGTGCGGCCGTGGTAGATGTGAAATAAACTTACCATATGATGATTATAATATATTTGATGACACTGATGTCACATATTATCTACTATGGTCCATATCATCTTTGTGGCACAAATCTACCATGGTCCATATTATATATGCTAACAGCTAGTATAACTATATTTATCACTTTTACAATATATTATACAATTTGTAATTAAATTAGAATTTTGTATATTTAAAAAAGTTAAAGATTTCATTGATAATGCCATAAACAAACATTTAATATATTTTCTTACAACATTTTCCAGAAGTTTTAGTAGATCTTCTTTTTCTTTACATACCTAAATGTTGTTTAACTAATATACTATACTTACAAAAAAAAAAGTTAATAAAAAAATTGAAACAAAACATTTTAATGTTCTAATATAGAATAATAAAATGTTAAAGCATAAAGAAGAGACAAAAAGAGGAGAAAAAGAAAGAGAACAAAAAGTTAAAGAAAAAAATATGAAAAGAAATACAAAGCTTAACATAAAATTTTTAGCTCTAGAACTCAGGAACAAGACAATCAGTAAATGAATATAAAATCTTTTAAGTAACAATTATTCAATTGACTAAAAAAAATTATTATTTATTTTTGACTCCAAAAAGAATCTGCAACAATAAATGCACTATTATTGCCTATGCTTGCTTGCTAATGCTTTGGCAAAGAACAAATGCTGTTGGCATAGAACTCTTTATTCAAATTTTTTTTTCATTGTTCTAATTAGTCATTTCATTGTTCTGATTATTAAGCTGCTTTCACCTGCCAAAAGTGTGTGTGTGTGTGTGGCTCAAAATAACTTTTGATGTATAGATTTTGCAATATGAGGACATGTATTGTCACAAAGGAAGAAATTTTGTTGTTTAAACACAGACATTTTTCAAGAGCAGCACTTGACGGTTATCGAGATGACACAGTAGGTTACTACTAATGTAGTGTTCAGTGCAAGTAGTTGCAAGTAGTTTCAAGAGATGCCAAGAATTACACACAAAACCAAATGTAAAACCTTTTCAGAGTGTAGGTTGATTAATAGAGCCAGTTTTAGCAGTTGTTGTGGCCCTAGCTACTAGCCCTTCCTGGTAAGATTTAGTTAGAGTACCCACTTCTCATCTCTGGTGATGATATATTCAAGTTAGTTGAAGCCCATTGCAAAAAAAAGAAGTTAGCGCAGAAGTCTGCTAGTCTCCTTGCATTCAGTTCATGAATCTAAACACATAGCATCAAGGTCTTTCCATTTAGTCTAAGTTGTATTTTTAATACTAAAAATGCATTCAAGTTCTCTTGTTACGCAACACAAAAGTAATTTTGGATTGCTCTAAATTAACTGGTTAGAGACTCTAAATCTAAATTAATTTGACTGCTGGACCTGGGTTGAGTTTGCAATGTTTAATCGCCATCACAAAATTGTGGAAATCAACACTTTGCTGTAGCCTTAAACACCAAACCCTGACCTATCCAATCACTTATATTCCATTTGGTTTTGGACGCTGATTTATAACATGATAAAGAGAGCCATACACTGATTTTGTTGTTATCCATTTTATTAAAAATAAAAAGGTTGCAATGCCAAAATATAAATTTATTTGATTGGCCATTTCACTTCCTTTATAACCTCAAATCATTGAAACTTTTTAAAGTTTTTAAAACTTTCTGACAGTTTTCTTAAAAATTGCTATTTTAAATTTTTTTTAGAAAGACTATTTTTTAACCAAACCAATAGTAATAATCAGCTACACAAGTTTAATGAAAGTGAGAAAAAATAAACAACAACCATTTAACCATTCTCCTGAAATAACCAATGAAAAAGAGCAAAATGAATCATAAAGAAGCCATCAAAGATAGTAATGTCATGAAAATCAGTTTGTACCAACCTGATGCATAGTATATACCTATTAGGGTGTCCCAAAAAACAACATTTTTGAAAATAATCTGCTCTCACCCCCTAAATGTGTTCTATCTAATACAAAAACACTAGGTTTAAATTTTTTTTGAATAAAAAATATTTTAAGGGGTCCCTCAAAACCCTCAAATATTTAATAAGTCCCTAATATTTTCGAAAAAAATGTTTTTCAAAAATATGTCAACCTGGTACTCAAATGAAGCGAAATTATATAAATATTTCGAAAATAATATTCATTTCAAAATATTTTTAACTTATTTATCAAAATTATCATAAAAAAACTTTAGAAATGCATTTTTTTTATTTTTTCTTAAAAAACGCAATTTTTTATGTAATAAAACCAAAAATAACAATTTTGTTTTGAAATAAATATTATTTTTAAAATTTTTATATAATTTCGCTTCATTTGAAAATAATAGAGACCCATTAAATATTCAAGGGTCTTGAGGGACCCCTTAAAATAATTTTTATTCAAAAAAAATTTAAACCTTGTGTTTTTGCATTAGATAGAACACATTTAGGGGGTGAGAGCAGATTATTTTGAAAAATGTTGTTTCTTGGGACACCGCATTGCCCATAAACAGTTAATGTGGAACAACAGTCTGAAAATAATTTTTTTAGTTTGCTGCAATACGATTTAACTTTGTTAATGGAATTTTACTTAGGTTGATGCCATTTTAATTTGAATGATGCCATTTTAAATTGACAAGAGTTTTATGTCAAAAGTCTAATCAAGTTTTAAAGCAAAGTTTTTAATCAAGTTTGAAATCAAGAGTTTTATATCAAAATTTCTTTATTATACTTTCTATGCTATTCTCTTATATCAATTTTTAGTTTTTTGTTCCTTGCTTGAAATTTTTAAAAGTATTTTTCCAATAGCAAGAGAATAAAAAAGAATCCTAGAAAAAGTGAAGCATATAATGAAGTGAAACAAAAGTAAAGCATATAATGCAAAACTGAAACAGATAAATAGAGGGCACAGAAAGATCATAAAAAATCAATATCAAGACACATAAAATGTTAGTATATATGTTTTACACAATTTTTATTTTTTGTTACACACAATAAAAGATTATAAAAAATGTATTTACATTTTCAAAATGAATTGACTCAGGAACATTTGTTTGTATTTCTTTACCCCAATAGTGGCATTTTATATCACTAAATGCAAAAAAAATAAATAATAAATTTGTCTTTAATAAAATTTCATTTAGTTGTTATGATAAAATACTTGTCTTTTGTTGTTGCAAATGATGGAATGTCTTTTTGTAAAATTTTTTTTTTTTGTAAACTTTAGTTCTGTTTATTTCAAGTGACTCAAATTTTTTAAACAAAATATTCTAGAGCATCAAATATAGTTTTGGGAAGCAACTAGTCAAACATATCTTGGTTTGATTTAGAATAGCACCTGAACTGGCCCATTTCCTTTTATACTTTTTTTTCTGTTACTCAATACATTTTGACATAACTTTCTTTTTAGATTCACAAATGTATATAACTGCATGAAGATTTTAATTGGTAGACGCCTGAGTTTGTATTTAGAAGAAGTTTTGTCTTATTGTTGCAGAATATATTGTTTAAATTTGGAGCTGATGAGAATATAACTTTTATGTTTTGTTTCCAAAGTTCTTTATGTTTGGGACCAACAATTAGTATCAATCGTAGCTTTATAAATGGTTAATTGCCAATCTGTTGATAATTGGTATTTTTAAAATCTTTTTTTATGTAGTTTATGGCAATATTAGTATTATTTAGATTTTGTTAGCAAATACTTATGAAGTTCTAATAATTGGTGTATGTTTACAAGAGAAAATTAAGTTTAAGTCCTTAGGTTGCGGATGTCATTAATTAATATATCAATAATAACTGAAATAACTTTAATGCGATAGATGTATAGTGGTAGAGCGCTTGCTTTATAAGCCTGAGGTTCTGAGTTCGATTACTACCACATCCCTAATAGTACTACATTCAACTTGTTTCTCCGCACAGCTGCCTTGATTCTCAAGGTTTGTGTTTATGAGTTGTATACATTGTTATTTAAACTATGCAAATATTTCATGATGCAGCTCTAATGTAAGTAAAGTTAAAAAGTTGCTTAGTAGACAAAATGTCAGAAATATTTCAGGTGCAGATCAATTCACACATTCTAAAGAACTATTTAAAGATGATCACATACTTAATGTTTTTCAGTTAAACCTTTATCAAAATCTTATATTTATGTACAAATTTCATAATAAAGTAACTCCTATAATGTTTAATACAATTTTCATAAAAATGAATTATGTGTACCCTACAAGATTTTCAAATTACAATTACGAGCAACCTAAAATGCATTATTTGGTTACTAAATTTGGAACACTTTATTAAATAACTAGCTGAAAAATTTTTCATCACTTTCTCTATTCAAACAAAAACTTTTTAAATGCATCCCAAACTCTCAACACATGTTGTGTTCATATTTAAGATAATGGTAAAAAATAATGTTTGAACTAAGTTATTTTGATTAAAAATAAATAATGAATGCATACCAAGAAAAACTAATCTTGTTGTTTTAGTCGAAGCTGGCCTTCTCCATTTATCTCAAAAACTCCGAGTCTTTAAATTATACATTGCAGACTTTAGCGATTCCTTTGACGTGGGTTTAATTCATAAAAGTTTTAGTATTTGACGTAATGGTAGACTTTTAACAAATCAAACTCTGGAAAAACTTTTATTTATTTTTATTCATAATTTTTTTCATTATTTGTTTAGTTATTTGTTTCCTACTTTTAACATTTAAAAAGATATCAAAAAACTTAAATATTTTATGCTGGTTCGTTGCTATAAATTGTTACTGCGCTACATTTAATGTTAATAAATGATGAATATTTATCATCTTATTCAAGAATCTGATAAAAAATTGTTTTATATTAATTAAGTGCATAAAATTAGTAACAACATTTTTTAATTGGTTAGAAGATATTTAGTCTGATTTTGCTTTGCATGTAGTTCGGGAAGTCAAACAAAAAAACTTAGTTTAGAATAATCTTGTCAAAACATATTTAAAACAAATGATTTTATTGTTAAGAGTACTAAAGTCTTTTATATCTATGTAGGTAAAAAATAAATAACTAAATAAAAAGTTCAACATTAAATCTTTTTTTTATTATATTGCAATTGAAAATATTGAAATATTAACTTGAATAAACTTACTTATAATTTAAAACTACAAAGCAATAAATAAAAAGCTCCTAAAATTATGTGATATTGTGTTGTTTATTTGATTATTGTTGATGTTTATGTTGATTATTTTCATTAATATCAAAATAGTCCCAGATTGGACTGTTAATTGCTTTGCTCATTGTTGATTTATTTCTTAAGTTTAATTCTATGTTAAAAAAAGTTTTTATATCATTGCATGTTCTTTTTATAATTGAGTAGAACAAAAAAGAAAGAAAAGTTTCACATAATTAAACTTTCAATGAATAAGAGTTGTATAGAATATATTTTTTTTTGCATCACTCGTTCTTTTTTTAGATCAGAGAAATAAACGTTTAATTGCAACTCTGAATAAATGGGAGTTGAAAGAGAAAATTGTTTGAAAACTTGTATTTGTCAATTTAGTTAGTTTTTTAACTTTCCATGTTATGAGACAAACGGAAATACCAAATATAATACGTTTTTTAACGCGTGTAATGACATTTCGACAATTTAAATTACCATTTATCTTGAATTATTATCATTAATTAATGTGTTAATTATAGCATTAATAATGATTCGTCTGTATTTTTGTTTAATGTTAATTGTATTAAACAGACAAAAATATACTTCATGTTTTTAGTTTGATGGTTATAAAACATTGAACAGTAAACTTATAATCAAAATTTTTAATGCCGACTTGTGCTGTTATTGGTTGTACATGTAATGCAAAACCAGGATTTCACATATCTTTTCACGAACTTTCATATCTGATACTACTGTCACCTGTATTAGTGTACTCTTGTGGTTTTTTTTCATAACCTTAACAGGTTCTAATTGGGATGGAGTTACCAATATTTTTAATGTTTTGTTATCAAATTTGTAATCAAATACAAAATTTAAAGATATTTCCTTTCTTTTATTCAATTTAGCAAATTTAGCAATTTAAATCAGCGTGTTCAAAAATTTTTTATAATAAAAAAATGTAACAGTTCATCAAATATCTCTAATTAATACTGTCAGTTAATGAAAGTAACTGTTAATACTTTTTTTCAATAGGAGAACAAAAAATGTCATAGCGTAAAAATAGAAAATTTAGAAAATAGTTTCCATTGTTTAAATGAAAATAAAAAAGATTCAGAATATATAATACTCTCTTGCAATTCTTGAATATATAATGCTTTCTTGCACAGAAACAAGAGACCGTATATATAAAGTTCTATATAATGTAAAATATTCATATGTAAACCATAAGTTTCATAAGTAAAGCCTTAATATTTGTTTTAATTTTAAAACAAATGAAATATAAGTAAGATATATAAATTTAAAAATTATTAAGATATCTGTAAAAAACAAGATGATCCTTTAAATAAAAATAATTTATTATTTTTACTTTTAACAAAATTTTTTTTGCAATGTTTGGAAAAATATTATAAATAAATTTGTTTTGCTGTATTTAAAAAAAAATACTACAATATACTTATTGAATCAAAGTTGAAAAACGTAGCTTTGTATAATTACATTTTTCTTTTCTCAAAAGACTACCGTGACATCAAATACTAAAACTTTTATGAATTAAATGCGCTTCAAAGGAATCGCCAAAGTCTGTAGATTGCGTCGCATAATTTAAAGACTCTGAGTTTTAGAGTAAAATGGAGAAGACGAGCTTTGACTAAAACAACAAGATTAGTTTTTCTCAGTATGCATTCATTACTTATTTTTAATCAAAAAAACTTGGTTCAAACATTTTTTTTCAACATTATATTTAGTTTGAACACAACATGTGTTGGGAGTTTGGGATCCCTTTAAGGTTCTTTTTTTCTTTTTCTTTCATTTTCTTTTTTAACTGGTCTTTAATTTAAATTTTATTTAAATTATCCTATTAACTTATCTTTAGTTTTTAGGTGTAATTAATATTATTATTATTATTACGATTTTCTTTTGATTATAGATTAGTAACTGATCTTAACATACTTGTAAAATTTGTATTTATTTTTTATACAGTACAAAGCAATTTTATGTTTATATTTTGATGGTTGTACACGCTTGCTAATAAAAGCACTTTGGGGCATAGTGAAAAGGCAAATATTGTCTTCTTTTAGCCTCGGTCATGTAGGTTTCATTTATATAAAACGACATTGTATTCTTTTTTTAAATGACAAAACATATAAATAAAAAAATTATTTTTAATTTAAAAGATGCATCCTTTTGGTATAGTAATGTGAAATCTGAGTCTTTATTAAAGAGATATATCTTAGTATCTGAACTCATTTTTAATTTTTTTAGTAGAAAAACATTGTTGTTTAAACTAAAAGTCAAAACTTTTAAATACAAAGCGTTAAAACTAAAAAGAAAATTGTATCAAGATGCATTGTATGAAGATGCATTGTATGAAGATGCATTGTATGAAGACGAAATTGAGTATCAAAAAAATATATAAAAAGAAAATGGGACAGTTTGGGAAAATTCCCAATAATGCCAAGATAAGTTTGACTGGTTTAATCAAAAAACCATATCTATTGCTCCAGAATATCATGTTCGGAAAATTTGAGAATCACTTGAAATAAACAGAACTAAAGTTTGACAAGAGTTGGAAAGTTGCAAAAAAAGTTCTTAATAGTGATGACGATGATAACTTGACAACAAAAGCATGGTGGCCATTTTTTATTTGATTATTAAACATCAACATTTAAAAATCTATTTTTGTATTTTGTTATGTTATTTTTAATTTAATCTTTATAACAGTTTGTTTTATTAAAACAATTTTTATTTAATATACCTGATGATGCTGATCACAGTAAATCAGTGAAACATTGAATAATATAAATTTAAATAAAAAATTATTTTTAAAAAAAAAAGTTTATACACAAGCATATTTTAGGTAAAATTTATATAAGTATATACATCTACCTGATAAGAAAAGGTTCTAGTGATTTATTATAATGGTTTTGAAACAACCAACTTTCACTGTATATTGATATATGATTGTCACTCCCTTAAAAAAACAAAAACCATTTTAATTTTAGTGATATATATAAATTATATACTCAGGTTTTCACACAAAGGTGGTCAATCACATGTTTTTATATGACCAGACAAACTACATTTTGCTATGACAATTTGACCATGGCTAATTCAAAAAACATTTTAAAAATGAACTAAATGAAAAATATTCTGAAAAAGTGAAATTAATTACATCAAAACTTCTTAATAAATGTTTTCATATTAGTGGAAGTTTTTTTTTTTTTTAATATAATTGACAGTTGTATATATTTTTTTAATTTATAATATATAAATTCTTTAAGTGCGCATTTCTATAAGAAACGTTATTAAAAAAGTAAAAAATTGTTTTGTTTTTATAAACGATGACATTCTACAAATTCTACAAAATTCTACAAAAGTTAAATTTTAATATAATAATAATTAAAGTTAATACATTTAAAAAGATAAACAAAATTTTGTTGAAAAAAAAAAATTTAGAAAGCCGTTACAATTAAATAAGTTTGATCTTAAATTTTTGTATTATTGAAACGCTTTTCAATGAAGTAACAAAACAATTCTGATTAATTTTTAAAATAAGTATTTTTAAACTGTTTTTTTTATTTATATAACTATGTATTTTTTATGAGAAATGTTTTCCTTTTCAAACATATTAAATAAGAATAAAAAAATTCAAATGTTAAAGCAAAGATTGAAATCGGTTTTTAATGCATAAATTAAATAGACTATGCATTTTAGTTTGATGAATTTTGTTTTAGTGGGGTTATATATATATTTATTTTTTTGTTTTTGCTTTAATTTAAGTATTTTTTTTATTTTCTCTTTCGTTAAGATTTTATTTCTTTTTACAATTTTTTTTTAAGGTAAGTTAAGGTAAGTTTTTTTAGAGCGTTTTTAAATTTTGAAAAAATGTCAAAAGCCATGGTCAAATCGTTAAAAAATATATTTTTTTATGCATGGTCATATAAATATGTCTGATCCCACACCTACTTGTGAAAGCTTGATATGCTTTATTTTATTTTAAAAAGTTTTATTTAATTGTTCTTTTAAATGAAAAAAAAATTGACTTTTTTAAGCAAAGATTAGGAGAAGTTAACTCCAACTTAAAATACTCCCTTGTCTAGTGATTCTTGCTCAACCCATTATTTATTGAATGCATAGATTTAAATTCTTGATTATTTTGACTCTTATTGTATTTGCTTTGTGACTCTTTATCAATGCCTAGAACTCATTCTCTTCTAATGAGGTCATAGCTCTTAAATTTGGTTTAAAAACACTGGGAATAGTTACAGATCAACAATCAATGACTGGCCTACCTTTTTTTCAGGAAAAAAAAATTTTTTTCGTTTTATAAGAAGTCAGTTTGGAACCCGCTGTAATCTTCGAATACAGATGATGAAGAAAATTATCATAATCATAAATTGGTTAAAAACATTTAATAGGTGGAAATTACATTTTTGTTCAAAAAACTTTGATTTAGGCAATTCAAAATGATATGCTATAAAGGCTAAACAGAGAAGTGAAAATTATTTTGCAAATTAAAAGCAAAATATAAAAATAAATTATTTACTAAAAGATTAACCTTAAATGATGATTTAAAAAAAATATATTTTTTTTTAAATCATTATTTAAGATTAAAAATGGTTTTTTTCATTTAAGGTTGCTGATCAGTATTGTAACTTAAAATTATTATTTCCAGTGCTGGTTTAATGCTTCTGGTGCTACCTGGTAATTAGGTTTTTTCCAAATTTAATGGCACAAAAAAATAAACACAAAATGTTTACTTATCAAACTTATCAAACTTCCAAAAAGTTTCAATTTATGTTATAAATAATTTTGGCAATTTATCTTTTTCAAAATTTCTAACACTTACTTGCACTTTATAAGATAATTTTTTTTCTATTTAATTTATTTTCTGATCTCAGTGTTGATGGCTACTATCCTCTGATTCCAAAATAAATTCTATTACATAAAGACTCCAAAAAAAAATTTCCTTAAACAAACATCTTACATAAAAAGTCCCTTACACAAAGACTTCATGTATAAAAACTTCACATAAAATATACATTAAGGTTGCATCTCTTTATTATTTCTACAAATAGTATAATGGTTGCTGCTCAAAAGAGTTAGAATCTCTAGTTACATCAAACAAAACTCATTGTCGCATGACTCGACAGCAATATTGCATCCGCCTACTGCATTTGTCTCTTCATGCTCTGAAGAGTTTTTATATTGCTATTTTTATATAATTATGAAACTATATTTCATATAGTTTTTTTCAGTGCACATCAATGGTTTGAAATTCTCTCGCACTGAGAGGATTTCAAACAATTAAAACCTTGATAAAAGACTTAAAACCTTTAAGTTTTCTTTTGGCTTTTCTTGCTTTTCAAGTTTTTTTTTCCTTTTAAGTATTAAATAATTAAGACTCTATTTGCTTTAAAATAATCATATACATAAGGCCAGGTATTTATTACTCTATAATAAAAGGTTAATGTTAACAAAAATATGATATTGAAATATCGATTTAATTTTAAACTTATATAAATGATTATCAAATATTATTAAAACAAAGTGTTTTTTTAGACAATTATTGATTTACGGTTAATTTTAATACTTGCCACCCCTAGAAACTTGCTGTTTTGCCAACCAAAAAAACAAAAAACAAATGCTTCCATAAAAAAAGACTTGCCTGCAGTTTTTTAAAAAGCTGTATGTTTACACGGCCTCTCATTATAGTAGGCCATGGTATATATACATCACACCTTTAAGATATTTTTATTTTATTTTTTGATAAACAAGCAGAAAAATAAATCAACCAATGAAACACTAATCATAATGAAAGAGCAGTATTAAATTATAATAAAAGAGTAGTAGTAAATAACAAAAATGACTTACACTCTATTCTTAGACATCCATTATTAAGAGAAACATGAAGAGGATAAATATTAGCAGGTATCTATAGATAATAGAAAATATTAACATAAATAGGGGCAGGTATCTATAAATAATAAAAAAATCTTTAGAGAATAAAAACAAAACAATTTTTACAATAAGTTGAAAATCAATAAAGCAATTAAAAGTAAAAGTACACAAATTTACAAAGTTTTAGTAAAACTTTATAAAAAATAGTTTATATATAAAAAAAGCTTTAAAAGAGAAAAGAATATATATCTTATGAACAAATGTTATATTTTCTCTTTTACAAAAAAATACTCAGTTTTCTTTGACAACATTTTTATTTAATAGACTCTTTCTCAATTACTGGGTATTTTGTGCTTTTTATAATTTTTATTTTTCCTAAAATATTTTTGCTTTACGCATTAATTTTTAAGCTTTTTATCAGGAAGAAATATTTAGTTTTTTAACTAAATGTTTTCGAAAAGCTTAAAATATTATGAAGTACTAAATAAAATTGACATAGCCATGAACCTGTTTTTTAGCAATTAAAGTTTGGATTATTTTATTTTTGACAATTCTAATTTGGAAGTTGTAAAATTTTAAGATATTTTTATCGTGCAACTTTAATTTGTGCTAATTAAATATTGTATTTGTGGAGAGCTGTTAATGAAGATCTTCTAGTATCAAAGGTTTTGATATTTTGCTCTGGAAATAAATGTGCATGTGTATGTTGTGAGTGTGTGCAAACACAAACAAATTTAAAAAAAAAACATTTAAAAAGGTCTATATATGCAAGATATTAACAAATTAGACATAAATATCAGATGCAGAAAAAAAAGTAAACCAGAAACCGATTTAATTTTCGCAACCACCATGCTTTGTACAATTATAAATTTTTTAAAAATATTCTGTGGATATCTTACAAAATAAAAGGGGGTTAAATAAGTGGGTCCTGAATTTTTGGTGTCATGATAAGTAACTTTCAGAGAATTTTGTAATATTGATACTGGAGACATTTAATATTTTAAAGAAAATTAAGGCAATCTGAGCCTAGGAATAAACTTAACCTAAAAATTTAGATCCTTACCTCCATGTGCAATAAAATAAAATTAACCTTTTATATCCTAAACTAAATAGAAATTAACTGTAGGATTTAAAAAGAAGTGTTACACTAGAAAAGAATGCTTAGGATGAAAGTAGGGTAATTCTTGTATCACTCACTCACTCTTGTTTCATTAAACAAAAAAGACTCCGGTCTTTTTTATAAAGTAATTATTTAAACTTTTGAGTTTGAGTAAACTCTGATAAATACAAAAATTAAAAACATGAACTAAATATTTTTATATAATTTTAATATTGAATAATTTGATATTTTACTTTTGTAAAGTAACTTTTCACAATATAAAAATTCAATAAATACAATTTAAAAAATAAAAAAATATATAAACTCATTCAACAAGATTTTTTGAAAGAAAAGTATGACTAGAATTGTATACAACATAACAACATAACAACATAACAACATAAGATGGTTTTTAGAATAATTTTTGTGACAGCTGGATATTTAGTAACCATATTCCCAGAACTGAATAAAATTATGATGAACAGATTAAGAGGCTTGTTTGCTTCAATAACCTATTTCTTTGTTTGGATTATCAATTGATGTCATTTTTTAAAATTCTATGTTTCACTAAAGTAAGTAAAATTGTATGCTTTAATAAAAAATGTACTTTAGGAGATTAATCCAAGCATAGGGTAGGCTTCTTAAAATTCTTTGATTTTTGTTAAATAGCCTTACTTTAAAGTCATTCCTATGACTCTACTTCTCTAAAAAATTTAAATGCTTGAAAAAACAATATTCGTCATAACCCAGTGAAAAAGAATAGATCAAATGTTTTAAAATATCTGTGTTATCAACTAGTATTAAATACTGCCCTCCCCCCATGAATTCTACTCCATGAACTATCTAAACAAATAAAAAGTTTGTTAGTGTTTCCACTTAGAATTCAAGTAAAGGTATAGGTTATTGCTCCAATAACCTATACCTTTACTTGAATAATCAAATTTAAAAAATATATTTTACAGAACTGTGTAAGCCAAATCGTAAGTTTTTTTAATTTGTTTTGAAAAAGGAAAAAGTTTAAGTAAAATTCAAAAGGGAAGTGTGGTTTTTATAAGAATTAAAAAATTTTTTTATTGATTATATAAACTTGAATAATAGCCATCTTCCAAATGAACTTATGGAATATGTCAAAACAACTTAATAAAAATAGAAAAAAAAAGTAATACGAGAATAATTTTAGGCAAACCATTTGGTTTACTAACATCAAAGAAACTGTTTTTACCAGAAACCAAAAACTTTTTTAATGTGCTATATGCCTTACAGCTAGAAGTAGTTTAATGCCTGGATCAAATATATAAAAAAAAAACGGAAGACAAAAATTCAACTCATACGTTGGTACTGATGGAGGAGCTGAGTTTTTGAAAAATTATTTAAATATCTTAAATTGTTATGAGGTGTCAGTGGAAAAAGAAGAAAAATTTAGGTATGATGTAGGTATATGTAGAGAAAAATTCAAAGATGGTGGGGTCAAAAAACTTATTATTATTGCACTTGTAGAAAAATTTCAAGAGTCCTATGCAAATTTGAAAAAAAGATCTTATGAATATAAAAAAAAATATTTTTGTGTATTTGATATGAAGTTGGCCAACATTTATTTTGGAATAGAAATTGTAGTATCAACTTATTCTTCTTGTTGGTGTATAGCTGGAAAAGATGAATTTCAAAATTATGAATTTTAAAGTGAACATGGAAAGCAGGCCTTATTAACAATTACAAAAGACGCCTTTACAGTTCAGATAATTTAATCCGTTCGCATATTTAATACTAAGTCATGGTTCTTTATGCGCAGAATCACATGAAAACAAGTGAATACACATATAAATTAAAATAGTGACCTTGAAAGAAACAGTTGTTTACTTAAGATTTTTTTTTATTTTTTTATAAAAAAGATATTGATTTAGCTTAATATAAGTTTATTTTAACTATTTTAAATCTAAAATCTATTCTGCTTAAATGTTTTTATTATAATATTTGTAATCAAGGAAAAAACAGCAAAAAAACTAATTTATACCCTGAGTGTAGTATTTAATATTGAACTAAACAGTATTTAATATATATATTAATATTAGCATTATTTACAAATGTAATAAGTTGAGAAAAAATACAAAAAATTTTATTTTTATTAAATTAACTTTTCCATTAAAAATGTTCAGCAAAAGAAATAAAAAAAGATGCTAATAAAAAAATATAGAAAAAAAAAGATGCTAATAAAGATGGTAACGAAAAACGACACATAAAGAAATAAAATCATAAAAGAAATGTAATAAGAAAACCTTTTTTTTTTATCTTGCAGTTGCAAAACAATTTCTCATAACAAACAATAAAAAAGTAAATACAAAATTAAAAAAAAAGGTCACATTAAATTTTATTTTATATTAGTGTTACTTTTAATATTTAATTTTTTGTTATAATGATTGATTTTATAAAAAAAAAAGAAAGAACATTATGACTAACTTTAAAATAATTTATTTTTTAACTAAATAAAAACTAAATAAAAATTTTTTTTTCACATATAACTCCATATATAAAATTTTTTTTCCATATATAACGTTATCGAGATAAAATTTATTTGATAATGTTATCAAGTATAAATATATTTAATAATGAGGGTGTAATAGTAAGTCTATATTTGTTTTTTTCTTGCTGTGTTTGTGAATATCTTTACTAAATATATATACATTTGCAAATACCTCTGAGGGTATAATAAACATTATAAACATTATATACAACATTATATATGATGCAACCACAATGTTCCTTCTGACGCAACACAAAAATAGTATATATATATATATATATATATATATATATATATATATATATATATATATATATATATATATATATATATATATATATATATATATAATACAATTATTTACACTAATTAATCACTTAAGGATGAAAGAATTTGCAATGCCACAATTTTGAGAAATAATAAAAAAAAATCAATTAAAACATTCAATTCTTTTATACAACTGCAGAAATATTATAATAAAAAATATAATACAAAATTTATTTACTTAATATTTAAGAACAAAATAATTGAAACAAAGTAGATGTTCCACAAAAAGATGCATATTTACAAAAAAACACTTCTACATTAGTTATTCTCAATTAGTCTTAATTTGCAGTTATTTTTTTATTGTAGTAATTTGAAAAAATTAATTCCCATAAATAAATATCAGGCCTTGTTAAGAGTTGTTGCATAATGGAAAAGCGCAACATGAATATTTGTAACTATAATAAATAAAGATATTTACATCGTTAAAAATTTAATTGCGCCAGTTGCGTATTTTAAAATACCTCATTGTAATTAATTTCAAAAACATCAGAAATTATTGCAAGTCTTTAAAATGTTTAAAAAATTTGAATTTAAAATTATATTCTTAAATTAATTAATATTGTGATAAAAAAAGCTATAAATTAAATTTAAATGTTCATTTAAAAAAATTTCCTTATTTTAAAATTTTATACTTATTTAAACTTAATTTTTTTTCTTTTAAAATTTAATTTTATTACTTTTTTAAAATAAAGGGACACTTGTTTATGGTTGATTTTTTTAAAAGAATTTAAGAGTACACAATTAGAATGGGATTTCTCCTTTTTAAAAAAACCTTAGCGCTAACTTGCTTTTGATCAAAATTGAAAAAGAAAAATTGTATTTAAATGAAGATTACCGCTTTACAGCTTTGTTTTTTTTTTTTTATTTCCATTAAAATATTTTATTTTTATGTACCTGAAACCTAAATATAAAAAACTGCTTAATGTAACCAAACTATATACTGATGATACAAAAGTGCTTTCTCAACTATAATCAGAGCTATTCGCTACTAATCTTCAAAATTATCTAGATATTGTCTACAATTGGTCTCAAACATAGCTACTTCTGTTTAACATACAAAGTGTGTAGTTATGCATTATGGCCACAATAA